AGCCTCGAGGTCAGAGTCGATGCGGAGAACGCGATACGCGGCCCTCAAAAGCAGAAGTTCGTAGTTTTAGAGCCCTTTCACGGAGAGCTTTTTATAGTGGTGTTTCAGGGACTGCGAAGATTCCAAGCGCTGGTTTCCAGGGTCTAATCGAAAGTTGGGCTGCCCCGAAGCACACCATCACAACCCCAGCACCAGTACCGCAAGATCCTCGCCCAGGACTGTCCGCGGGGTCGCGTGGCGGGCGCAGCGGCCGCGCGGCGGGGGCCGCTGGCGCAAGGGCGGTGCTTCCGTCTCGACTCGTCTTCCTCTTCTTCATCCTTTCATTCGTCCTCGTGGTCTTCGTCTCATCGTTTCTTCTTCCTCTTCTCCGAAGAAAATCGGTGCAAATCTACCCGCAGCGCATGTGGTCTCAAGTAACGCTCAGATCACTTTAATTGCTGTGTGCAGTTCTCCCAAGCAGGCAAACGGTGGATTCGTTAAAAAAAATTAGAGGAACAAAAACCCTCTAAAGTCTCATGTTTACACCGCAGTTTCTTGTCATAATAAATTTTCTTGTATCATCGTATATTATACAATATCTGCAGTACCTGGCAAATAATTAAATATTATTCCTTTTCTTATGAGGACATTCTAAGAATAAAGTGTGTAAAATTTGAACAATTAGTATGATTCTCAAATAGCATAGTGCCATTTTACTTTGTATGATTACTGATATTTTACCAAATACAATGATTATTATAAATTTGAGATGATCCCAAATCCAGCATGGAGCTGTTGATGTTTTTTCCTAAGTGTCATGGAAAATAATTTTCAACGTTCTCTGTTTTCTGTATTCTAACTAGATGAGCATATCGCCATATCCAAATCTGAATATGCCATCACAGCCAGAAGATTAATCCAGTTGACTTGATATTTTTGATGGATCTCTCTAAATCTATGGAAAAGATGAATAAGCGATAACTTGTCAAACGCTTAGGTGACCCTCTTGTTGCAACGCATGCGAAATGTACATCAAACTTTCGATTAGGTTTGGGATCTTTTGTGGACAAGATTGTTGATGGCCTTATGTGTCCCGGTACTAAAAAGGTAAGTTCCAGTCCAGTTTCAACCATTCTTTTAATTAAAAATTTTTAATTTTTATTGGTTTTAAGAAAGTTTTTTCATTCTGTAATCGGAATTGTGGTGTCAAGTTAGCCAGCAGAGAGGTTAGATTAATACTCAACTAAGATTTGCCTTGAGTTGTCTGCCATTAGTTTTAAGGCTTTCTTATTCCAAAGAATGTTATTAGACTAGTATTTTCAAATGAAGGCCAACAACGAATAATGTTTGACAAATTTGAAGATTTGCTGCTCTTGCTCCTCTTTATTGAAACAAATTTTAATGTGATTAGAATTATTGCGGATTTGTGATATTTCTCAATAAGTTTTTTGGGTGATTCATTGAACATCAAAAATTTATTTTGGCAAACTTTTGTTGGTTACCATTGAATGTGATTTCTATAATATTTTATATTATAATAAATATTAAATTACAATTTTATTTGCCTTCATGAGTCAGGAAAAATAATTACAAAATACTACAGTGCTTTTGTCCTCTCATTTACAAAGTGGCATTCTTGAGCCTTCTAACACTAATTAAGATACACTTGAATCATTTCAAAATTTCTGTCCTCTTTGAACAGGTGTGGAAGCAAAGGGACAAAAATAAGGAAATTTTCCCCCCTGAAAATTTTTTTCAGTAACTATATAATTTAAATTTGTCACGGAAACTTTCAAGGCAAAAATATTGTCCAATAATCGTTAAAACAAATAAAATTATATCAATAAAAGGAGATGAATGTAGCCTGTGAATTTTACAAAACCTATGTAATTTTACAATATTCAACCAATGTCTTTGGCCCTTTGAAAAAACAGGATCAATTCTAGCCAAAAATGTTATCTATACAAAAGTATCTTACAAACGTTAGCATTTTAGTTGTGGAAGAAATAAGGAAAGGAATTTGAGACTATGATGTGTTTGGCCACCCTGGATATAATAAATAACAAATGAAACTTACAATAGATAAAAAAAAATTTTCGTGATTAAGAAGTGGAACCACAGTAGCTTCAGTAATGGAAACTTTTGGTGAATTACTGATTAGAAGACGTTATTCAATGCTTACGTAGTTGAAAGCAGAATGACAGAGTGGGAGAAATTGAATAATTGTTTTTTTATCTCAGGTTAGACATCCATGTTTAGGCCTGTGCAAGCACCATATGGTTAAAGGAACCATATGAGTCTTAGTACCAATGTGGATGATTTCATGTAAGTGATCATGTTTCTATTGCCATCTGCATCCTAACAGGCTGAATGCGGCCTTGCCTCTTTCTGCGCTCATCATTGTTCTGTTCCTGTGGCAAAGCATGATATATGAATTATTGTTGTTTATTTGTTTGTTTGTTCTTTGTTTTTCTTAGCAGCTAGTATGTCATCATTTGCTTTTGCTTGATATGTGTTTGATGTTGTTATCTTCTAGCATCTCATATTATGACCTTGATATTTCTTAATTTTCAAATGATCATTTATTTGAATTGATGAGTTTTACTTTCTGTATAATATATTCGTAAAAGTCAATTATTCCCAACATTTGTGATTAGGTATCTCCCCAATGTGAGGAGGGAATAAATATCTTCTATGGTAGGACTGAATATCAAAAAATATATATGCAATGCCTCTTATCTGAATCTACTTCTAATCCTTTCTTAAATATAAAATGGGTACACAAATAAATTAAAACCTGTTAAGTATAAGTGACAAATATATAAACATGGGTAATTGGTACTAAATGCAGAACAGCAAAAGAAAATGTTTCTTACACACCTATATCAGCTAGTTCTCCTTCAAAGAAAGAATGATGGCAGAATTTAAACTACAGCAGAATTATTTATTGTTTCGCGGCCTAAAACAACTAAACAGTTAGTTTTGAAATTGCTAAAAGCTCTTTTTCTCAACCAGTGGCGCAAACTCTGTATGCATAGGAATGACACTTGGCTATTGTTAATTGAAATAATTTCTGAACAAAAATAAATGGTGGCAAATTAATCAAATAGATCTTGCCTTGAAGATAACAATTCTTCCCAAAATTTTGGATAACCGTGTATTGATATATTTTGCAAATGAAATGTTCAGCTGCACTTTTAATAGTAACATTTTTTTATGTTGTGAACTTCTTCTTCAAAGAACTCTGTATGAGATTGGTTATTTCAACTAAGATCATATTGACATTTTAATATATGTAACTTAATGATTTTGTGACAGGATCAAATGAAACAAAATGTATATTGAATTGTAAGAAGAAAGCACTGAGAAGACGGTGAAACCGATGTGTTCCTGACATGGAAATAAAATAGATTCATATTATTTGGTTTTGGTAGTTCTTATTGTAATGATGAACACATGCACAGTTGTATTTTGTATGCTTGCATGTCATGCTTTAAGTTATGCTGTCTTATCTGCTCATCACCATCCGTAAACTTTCAATTATCATGCATTCGCTTTCTCCCAAATTGAAAAATTGATATGATAGAAAAACAGTTTGTGCAACAGAACCATGGTGAATTAGATTAAAAAATATAATAAATTAGATTGACCAATAATAAAAATTATAAAGTAAGTTATGTAATAACATCTTAATGTATCTTCTGCTTGCATTTTACTTTCAGGTGCTGGCATAATGGATGGTTTTTCTTTAAATAGCCATTCTAGAAATTTTTGTATTTTTAGACCTTTAGACGTAGAGACATTTGCATGTTCCAGAAGTCAATGTTAAATATTTTAGTTTAGTTCAATGTTTAAAATATTTAAGCCAAGAAGAAAGGGAATGGACAAGACAAGTGTGAATATAATTTAGGAAAATCTAAATTTTACTTGTTGTATGAAAATTTTGTTTGGAGAGGAATAGTTAAAGTAAAGCTTTTAAGAAAGTCAGTCTGCACATTTTGAACGATATAATGTTTATGAAGACCCTTAATCTGAACAAAGTATGTGTTTATATTTCAAAATTTTGTTTTGTTCTGAACAACCAGTAGCTTTCAACTACGAACAAATTTTCTCCAAAATGTAATGTTCCTTTAATTCACTTTGTTTGAATGAAATGACCTTGCCATAATTGAAATGTATCAATTTATATTTGAGGATACTTTATATAAAGCTCATACCACATTTTCATAAAGTTCATAGTACACTGTTCCTTTTTTCTTTCTATATGATTTCATATTTTCATGCTGATTCCCATAATGTTGGCTTTTTGGTCTAGCAGTTCTAAGTCTTTGAAATAGTTTTGAAATCTGATTTTGTTTAATTTTATCTCTACAATTTACAAGTACCAATGAATGTTGGCATCAAACCTCCCTGCAAAGTTTGCTATTCCTTTTTAAATTACTCATTTGTGTGTTGTTTGGGTTTGCCTTTTCTCTCATCTCGGAAACTTGTTTGCACTTGTACAATTATAAAATGACTAATAGTGGCAAAAAGTAAATTAAAAAACAAATTTAATAAATCTTGTTTCTAATTGTTATATTTAATCATGATTTTAAATTTATATGGAATTCTTGTGTTTGTGCATTATTAGTGTTATGATATAACTACTATCATTTTGTAAAATTTAAGGAGGTCAATGGCAACAAGACAATTATTTTACAAGGAACAATGCAAAGAAAAGGATGGCTTCTCTTCTTCTTTCTTGTCCAATTGTCACGGCCTTTACAGTACTTTGCACGCACTACCATGTCATGTTCGGTGAAGACTAAATTTTGAGAAAGCTAAGAGCTTGCCTGGCTGGGGTGGTGCCCTGCCTGAGGGAACACCCTGGCTAGGGAAATCCCACAACCAACATATAGGTCGGCTTCAGAAATCACCATCAAGTTGAGAACTATCACTGCCACTTCTCACAATGAAAACCTGCACTCCAGATAACAATTAGTAGTTAGCATGCCTGGAAACCTTAATCTGTCTCAAACAAGGATCAAGAACCCCTAATTTTCTCACATAAATAATAACAGAGTAAGCATTGTTATAACATCTTAAACATTCTTATAACAATTGTAAGAATTGTTCTCAAAATTACCCAGTATCTAAATGAAGAACTAGTATTTGTATGACTAGGTTTTTAGGCTTTTTGAACACACTGAACATTGCTCATAACATAGTAATGAAGGGCAGAAATCTAAAAAAATTCCAAATCTATCTCAAAATTACTCCAAAAAGGGGTTAATTATCGTCAAAAGTTTGTTTTTCTAGTATTTTAATAGTTTTCGCTTACCCTCACCCCTTTTAAATCATAACTATGAATATTCAGAGTACATAAATTCTTACTTTTACTCAATATCATAATAAAACTAATTATGTACTGCTGTTAAATGATCTTTTGAAAGTTTGAAGCATTTAAATTTTTTACTTTTTTAAATATAAAACACAAATTAATTTACTTCAAAAAAAAAACTTACAAACAATATCAGTCTACAATTGTGTGTAGTCTATTGACATTGTAGCATCAGTATTTTACTAAATAAGTCTAAGGTGAACATTATTGTGATTGTAATCATTAGTTAAAGATATCTCGAATATCCTCCTTCATGATTTTGGATTTGGGATTGGTTTTTCAAATTTCCTGCTGAAGATTCTTTGTTCCATGCATTTGATAAATGAAGTATCACATATCACATTATAATTCAAAATGAATTATACGTAAAAAAGTAAATATTTTCATTCATAGTTTCATGAATTTTCCAAATAAAGTTTACAATAGATTCCAAGAGAACTGCATGACCCAATATGACGATAATGCCAATTGGATTTTATTGTAAAACTCAAAAGTTCACAATTGGCAAATTAAAATTTCTCAGGTTTTTTCGTATTTGCTATCTTCAAACCATGTATTAAGGCCTACAATTCATACTTCAATTTCATAGAATTGAACATCAGTTATAGGCATTGTACAGAATCTGATCTAGAACACAAATTTGTCTTGATTATTATTTATTATTATTATTTTATTTTATTATTATTTATTATTATATTATTATATTATTAATTATATTATTATTATACTATATTATTATTATTATTATTATTATTATTATTATTATTATTATTTATTATTATTATTATATATTATTATTATTATATTATTATTATTTTATTATATTTATTAATTTATTATTAATTATTATGTATTATTATTATTATTATTAATTATATATATTATTATTATTATATTATTATTATTATTATTATTATTATTATTATTATTATTAATTATATATTATTATTATTAGTAGTTATTATTATTATTATTATTATTATTATTATTATATATTATTTATTATATATTATTTTAAGGAAATAAGAAGCACCAATCTTTGTTTTGTATTCTTAATGGCTTTCGCATGTAAAATGTATATATAGAGTACCTTTTTTCAGGTCTCATCCCATGTGAATAAGTTTCCTAAATTTGGTTTGTGGGTTGTTCAATCTTTTTTGATTTCATTATCCAGAATGTTTGTTAATGTTTCAAATGTTTCCTTTACTGTGAAAGGTAAGAAATATAATCTTTGAAGTAGCAGTCTGCACTATTTTCCTGGTTTCTTTCGGAAGAACAAGCAAGGAAAACTTTACTTGGAGATAACAAGGTCATAATTTTCATTTTTAATAACTATGCCAAAAACTCTGATTTCAAAACAGACTTTCATGAACGTGCACACTGTTTTACCTGCTTTTCCATACTTTTTTTTTCTCAATGTAGTGGGAATCTAGTGCGGACCTGAATATTGGCCTATATTTATGCATGAAATTTAGTTATATGTCTTGTTGTATGTCTGAATTGTTCTGTCTTGCCTTTGTTACCTGTAGCTTGGAAAGTAACTTGCCCAGGCTGTGCTGACTCTTATGGCTTTCGCAGAATGCCATGCCTCTATGTGAGGGATGCAGGTGAATTGCTGTAAGTGAGCTAACTAATTTTCATTACCCTTTGTTTTATTATTTTATCAGCACTGATATAAAAGTGTAAGTGTAATGGTGCTCACATCATGTTCACACATCATGGCAAGAGGTTGTGAATGTGGTGTGTGTGTGGTTGTGTGTGCACATGACATGTGTATGTATACATGTGTTGTACTAAGGCTAGAAGTTTCTGTCAAATGATAGAAATATTAGTAGTTTTCAAAATTATAATTAATTTACAAAAATTGTGACTGTAATTCCGACAATACAGTTTTATGTTGTTTAACATATTACATTG